TAAAAACCCCAGGAATAATTTTGTTTTAAGAAGCAATATGTACTTCAACTAAAGTATTAGGCAAAAATTTTAAAACTGTAACTTCGTCGATTTGTGCAACTTATGAAATCATATGATAAAATTTTAGATGTGACAAATCGGGTGCCTGATAACATTTACATTAACTAGTGTACTGACACGTGATTATTGCATCTACATTACGAAAGTGTTGCCAGAACTACAAAAGTTTTGGTCAACGTTATTTACATACGAAAATTACATGTCAGAAACTTACACGTAAAAATTATGCAAATTTCTGCCCTATATATCTTGTGTTCTATAGGTGATTTTAATATTATAAATGTCGATGTCGTGACTGAAGTTGGGATCCGACTAAAGTTGGAATTTTAGTTGACTGAAGTTGGCACCTGCCTAAAAGATGATCTAATTTCAGGGGCTAATTTCAGTCAGGTGCAACTTTAGTCGGATCCCAACTTTAGTCACGACATCGACACGTCCAATATTATTAAATTTTTATTTGAATACTTGCCCAACATGTTTAGTGTATATGTGCGAAAACAAATTGCAATGTAATCTATATGTATGTAGCATAATTATATCATGCCGAAATCAATAACTTAACCGGATAGGCCGAAAAATCATTCGGTCAATTTTTATCAGATGTTCCAGGAATAATGAAAAAAAAAAAACACCAATGACACGGAATTATAAATGATGATTACTGATGATTACAGCTGTTGTCATTAGTCCTGGGACACCTTATGAAAAATTAACCGAATGTTTATTCTGCCGGCATGATCAGTGTAACGTTTATTATCCCCTGACCAACCCCATCTATTTAACTTTTTTCATGTACTTATTTCTACTAGATATATATCTATTTAATTTAGGTAATTAAGTATTATCCTATTTAATATTAAATGTCAAAAACAGTGCGTAAAATAAAAGTTTCGCTTTAAAATAAGTACATGAAAGTTATGTTACATAGATGGCAGGGGATAAATCAGTTATATCCTGTGTAGTTGGATATAAGCGAAATTTTGTAGTAAAGTTTAATCGGCCGCTTACGCGGCCGATTATACTCACTGCAAAATCCCACTTATACCCAACTGCCCAGGATATAACTATTACTTAAATGCTGCCAAAGATCAAAAAAATTTGATATTCTTAAAGATTGGTAAATTTATTCTTACCTGTTATATGAACTCATTCAGGAGTTCTAACAGTATATATAACCCGTAGCATCGAATTCATCACAATAACGATGAGTAATAGAACATATCAACCGTCCTAGCATTACTTAGCGTTATCTATATTATATACTTAGTAGTTCGGTATCGGCAACATTTTCTCTTTACATCTCTTTGTAAATAAAGATAGAACCTAAATTTAATATAATACAAAAACGTTAAAAGCTTACGTTAATATAATTATAACTTTTAACACGTGTAAAAAATTCTTAAATAGTATAATTTAAAGTAATTTAATCGTATCTTTTTTTGGGAGGCCAGAAGAAACCTTCAAAAGGCGAATAGAGAATATTACCCCCTAAACAGTGTGAGATTTTTATTCACTAAAACCTCTGGTGTAAATGCTTTTATTTCTACAACCTGGCTTATAAAAACAAACCATTTACAAAAAATAACCCTAACAAGATTTTTTACAAATAAAAAGTTGAACCAAACGAATACTTACCCTTTTGTTAGGGTTAAAAGAGATCCACCAGGAGGAATGTGACTAGTATCTTACTCGACACGAGCGAGTAAGACCAGAAAATAAAAATACTTACTTATTGAAAATACAGGTTGAAACACCTATTTTAAAAAATATTCGCATATTCGTATATCCAAGATAACGTGAAGGTGCAAACGTACGACGTGCGTGTATAAACCAAAAGAACGTAAACGTGTGCATAATGGACGTGCAAGCGTGCGTATAAAGTGTGTCTAGACAACAAGAACGTAAACGTGTGTATAAAATAGCAGGTAAAATGTATAAACTATCCGTAAGATATCAAATAAAAAATAAGAAAAACTAGAGGTTTATATAAAAAAATTTTTTATTGAAGCTTATTTTGGGACTCGTTTTTGAGTGTATATACCAAAAAAGGAAACGTAACGTAAAGATTTTTTGTTCACGTTTATGTATGTAAAATTATATTTCCGTTATTATATTCTTCTTGCCTTTTTTTCATTTCGCGCATGTGTCAAGCTAATTCGCATAAACAAACTATAATTTTCTGATTGGCTATTTTCTTTTTTTGGATTTATCAATCAATCACATGAATGATGTAATTTTCAGAGCGTAAGCGTAGTGGTGTCTGTTCACACACGTGTATTCACACGCGTGTTTATATTTGTGTAATAAAACATACATTTTTATTTATGTGATGCGAAATTGCCGGTATTAAATGAGTGATGGTCAGTGAAAATTATAGATGCTGGTGAAACTAAATAACGCTGGTGAAACTAGAGATGAAAAAGTTCCAGTTAGGTTCTGATAGGTTTTAAGTCAATTAATAATCTTTGAGGAATGATTTTCGTACATCAGTTTCATGTAACCTCACGTACATCAAATTTTTTTCGACAAATAAAATTCCTATTTTTTTTTTTGCCGATGATTTTATTTGATTTTATTGGGTCAAAAAAAAATTGATGTACGTGAGGTTACACGAAATTGATGTACGGAAATTATTTTAAAGTTTATAAATTCTTTAAAATATTAATTTAGAACCTAGGGTTTGAATTAATAATATTTTAAACTTTAAAGATTATAATTAATAACTAATTAAGAACTAAAAAAATCAACTTAAAAATTATTAGTTTACTTAGAACCTATCAGAACCTAACTGGATTTCTAGGTGAAACTGGTGAACTATCTAAAATCTGATTGGCCGTTATATTAGATTTCACCAGTTTCACCAACGCCTGTAGATCTTTCACAAAAAATTTCTAACCCTAAAGATTGTTTTGATTTCTCATTACACCTGATTGTTCGATCTAATTGGATTAAAATCACGAGGAGGAAATGTTTTTCACCACCATTCTATAACTGATAAGTGAAAACCTGTAAATCGATTCACCAAAAATTTTACTGGCCAATCAGAACGCAAAAAAATCAGAACCAAAAAATCTCAACATTTTATCTATGAAACCACCTTCTGAAAAAAATTTTGGTACTCATAAAGCTCTTTCTAACCTAAATTAATGGCAAAACCTAACTCTAATCTAACGGCGAAATCTTTTTAGCGAAATTTTTTAGGTTGGTAACGCTAGATTAGTTGGACTTGACACCTGAAGAAACTGATCTCAGTACGTAATTTCAGTACCGCATGTAAATTAATTTATATATTTGGTATGCTTATGAAACCGTCATGAAACCGTTTATCTGTTATGAAAATCGAAATATGATAAAATTAAAATCCTTCTGAATTTAGACACCGACAATCGCAATTCATTTAACCGACATCACATAACGTGACTAACGTGACAATTTGCTAAAACTAATAAAGTGTACTTAATATTAAGCTGTTGTTATCGTTATTGGCTGATTAATTTAGATACGATGCTTAAGAGAGGAATTGAAGATAAGGCATTGTCTACTATTTGTACGTATTTAATGTATATATTTCAAGGCTTTTTTTTTTTTTAATAAAATCATTTTATCGTCATAATTTTTTTAACATGAAATCATATGGTGTTAATATGAGCGGATTGTCGTTATAGATGAACAATAATCAGAAAAAAGTGGGAGCTGTCAGCTTAATAACAGTAAAATCTGTAGTACATTACAAATTTCATCAAACTGAAACTCGCTAATAATTCATTCTTTGTAAATTTACTAAAGCTTAACTTCCACGGTAAGTTGTATAAGAGAAAGGTGCAATTAGTAAGGGAACGTGATAATGTTGTGTAGGATCCTTTATTTGAAAAACGACCTTTAGCATAAGTCAATTAATAGAAATAATGATTTAGTAACAATTAATAAATTTCGTTTTCCCACTAATAAACAATCTATGTACCTGAACAAAGGGATAAAATGATTCTTCTCCGAAACTTTTAAAATAAGGTGTAGTAAAAAAAGTAAGACGATAAATTGCTTTATAATCATCTTCAGATTTGATCAATTGTATTCGGTAATCGGGGGAAACCAAATCTGAACATCTTCCGTCTTCGTTCGTTTTTCTGAATTTATATCAAAACTGATAAATGTGCAATTGACTAGATATCGAATAAGAATTTATTTAATTCGATATAATTACGTTTTACTAACGGTAATCCATTCTTTATCAACGTTATTTTGTTGACATTCCAACAAAACCTCGATATTTTTGCCAGGAAGACCGCGTGATGAGTCGAGTACGTGGCAGGTTATGGGACCACGTTTCTGTGTAGTCGTATTTGACATTATTACTTAAAAACCGCTTTATATTTGAGCGTCGCAAACTTAAAACCAGTTTCAGGTTTTAATTTGGCAGCATTACCTTATAACGATAAAAATCACATGAAATTAAAATCAATCTTATCATGTGATTTTATTATTTATTCGGCTAACCGCCTAGGCAGATTTTTATAATGTCGACTTAGTTAAGAACCCCAACTAACATTAGACTCCTAATAAAAAAGTTACCTTCACAACGAGAACTTTCAACTAATCACCTCAATGCGAAATGCTTCGGCTTCCTTTTCATTTTCATACTCTGTAATAGTAATTTTTTTAGTAACGGCTTGTTTGCTGTGGATGGTTATAGATTCATTTCTACACTATCAAAAAGATGTTCCGGGGTGTAAGCCTTCAATGATGTACCCTTCGTATATAAAACAACATGGCTTTGATAGCGAACAGACTCGATTTTCTGGAAAATATGGACTTTATTTATATAGGGATACAAAATACGATCGTAATGATCAGGTATAAAATTTCAATGTCCCATTAAGCATATTACGAAAATAGAAGCAATTAATTTTTTTTTTTTTTTTTTTTTTCGAATAATATCCGTAGCCTACAGGAATTCCAGCACTTTTTATTCCCGGTAACGCTGGTAGTTACAAACAAGTTCGTTCGATAGCTTCTGAGACGTCGGAACTGTACTATGATACAATTTTAAAGGAATTCGGCTCGCAGAACAGTGGTGTAAGACCAATTGATTTTTTTACAGGTTTGTGTGTATATGTGTATTATTTAATATTTTATAAGTTAATTTCTCATTGAATATATCCTTGACAATTTAGTCGATTTCAATGAAGAATTTTCTGCTCTTCATGGACATTCTTTACTTGAACAAGCGGAATATCTAAATGATGCTATTAGATATATTTTGTCTTTATACCCAGCAGCTAGGAAAAATCAACAAGCAGATCCATCAACACAACCACTTCCTGATCCTACTGCCGTAATTATTATTGGTCATTCGATGGGTGGTGTTGTTGCAAGAACGCTATTTACGATGCCAAATTATCAACCTGGGTCTATTAATACCATTTTAACAATGGCGACACCACATATATTACCACCGGCTCCATTTGATTGGCAAATTAGTAAAATTTATACTGACATTAATGATTTCTGGAGAAATGGTTATTCTCAGAGTGTAACACTACAGAACTCACTCGCAGACGTTACTTTAATCTCTATAGCTGGTGGGAATTTAGATACAGTAGTTTGTTCTGACTCCGCCAATATAAACACACTTGTTCCTGCGTCTCATGGTTTCACTGTTTTTACAACGTCTATACCTAATGTATGGACTTCAATGGATCACCAATGTATCTTATGGTGTAATCAGTTAGTTAAGGTAGTTGCAAAGTCTTTGTTAGGGATTGTTGACATAAGACGTGCCGGCCAAACAGAACCAAGTCAAAAAAGGATGACTGTGTTTCGTAAAATTTTTTTGACCGGCCTTGAAGATCCAGTAGACCTCGATTTCAATATACCAAAGAGAGGTGAATTCTAGTGAAATCTATTTGTCAACTATAATTTAAAATTTATTAACTTTGCATTTTGTGTTTGACAGATCCTTTTGGAATCATAAATTTTGGAAAGGTTTCATATCAGTTTTTAGATATGGGGCAAAGACTTGTAATAAATGGTTCTGTTTCAGCGGCGAAAGCATATTTAATGCCAATACCACCGCCAGCACCGCATTCTACCTTGAACACATTCTCTTTTTTAACGGATCAACCTCTTTTAAAAGGCTCTGGTTTAGACATTCTTTTATGTGATGTGATGACAAAAGAAATCCCTGAACACAATAATAAAATAGATCTTTCTGTAAACGATTTAACATTACCAACTGCACCTAGGCTTTCATGCTATTCAGTATCTAATGAGGCGTCATTAGTACCCGCTTCGAGAAGTGATATTAAAAGTATTATACATGATAAATCTTTTAGCTTTTTGAAACTTAAAGTTAAAGAATTAGGCGATTATCAATATATTGCAGTCGTGTTTTCAAAAGAACTCGTAAATGGTTTTTTAATTGGCGAGTTTTTTGATGAAAGAATCACATTAGCCGATATCAACACATCAATGAAAGGTTCTGGACTTATCTTTACTGTTAATTTTTGACATTATAATTATTGATTGCATCTATCTAATCTGCTGACCACTTTTAACAGACCTTTTAATAGATGGCATTCATATTGACGCATTTCCTGAACACATGGCTTTATTGTCAATGTTACGAATTCCAGTTATCGACAGCAGTTTGTTAACTTATAAGATGTCTATCCGTCGCACCGGATGTGTTGGTAAAATGCCAATATTTACGTCAAATAAAATATATATATATATATTATATTTTATTTCATATTGTTAACCTATTAAATACAAATTATTTTATTAGATCAACAAATATTCGCACCATTCTTAAGACAATCTATATCTACAATGTACGAATCAAAGTTTATTGTTAATGTTGATGATTCAGATTTAAATATTCACGGGCAAGCTCCATTTGTCACGCCGGTCAGTGCCCCTAATTCTAGGAGGGGATTAGAATTACAGTTCTGGATGGATCCTACTTGTTCTGCACCATTATCGTTAGATATTGAATTAGATTTATACGGTAGTTTGGGTAAAATAGTTATGAGGTTCCAAATGGTTGCGGCAGCATTTCCTTTCATTATTGTTGTAATGACATTGAGGGCTCAACTTAGAGAGTATGATCGTGGGGGTAAGAGCTTTTATATTTTACGCATCTTGTAATTATCTAAATTTAACGCATTTATCTTTTATAGGACCATTTGTGAGCTTTGGACATGGATTAGCACTTTTTATTCGTCAAACATTTCTTAAATTTCTTGTTATAGTTTCAATGCTATCAATTTATCAGTCCATCACCAAAGCTTCGAAAACATATTCATTAGTAGATTTATTTCCAATGGATTATGCACCAGGAGACATGCAAAAAGTCATTAAGGCCAAATCCTCATTCAATGTGAATGACACGCTTCTAGGAAATCAAGATCCATTTTTTTGGTTTCTTCCACCAATGTTTTTTATTATGAGTGTTGGAATAACAACTTTGTGTTGGTTTATACTGAGTGGTATTGTGAGAATTTTGACGTTTGCTGTGGTTTTTATTAATCGCCGAGCAAAATGTGTGATACGCTTAGTAAACAGGTATGCTTATATTTGTATTCTTTTTTTTTTTTTTTTTTTTTTGGAGGGATGATTTCTAAATAAATCAAATATATCTTTTGCAAAGGCCTTCAGAAACTAAAGCGTCTATACTGCTTCGTCGTGCAGTAACCACAATAATACTGTTTATTTTGGTTGCATCTTTTGTACCATATCAATTTGCCTACATAGTTGCCTTTTTTGTTCACTTTGTGTCATGTGTGCGTTCCTTAGCTGTTGCTAGCTATGGGGTATGTGATCTTTTATTTATTTATTTTTTTAAAAAAAAACTTTTAGCATCTTATAACGCGTACAATTATTATTATTATTATTATTATTATTATTATTTGCATTTAGCATAAATCTTTAAATACACAAGAAAGCTGGGATCGCTACCACTATTTACAATCAATACTTGTTCTTTTGTTCATGCTTTTGCCGCTTAATTTACCTGTATTGATGGTTTGGATACGAAATATGTCAGTTCATTGGTTTGCACCATTTTCATGGGATCACAGTATAATGGCAATAGCCCCGGTTATATTTTATGTTGAAATTATAACAAGTGGTAAAATGTTACCAAGATCCACCGGCAGGTAAGAAGGATACAAGTTCATTATCATTCTAACAAATATTTTCTAATGTAACTTTTTTAATTTTCATAGAAACTCTCGAGCAATTACCAGTTTTATTCTTTTTTTAATAACAGTATATGCTTTGTTATATGGAGTACGATATACATATTTACTTTACTTTTCATCACTTGGGTTTTTATCATGGCTTATATTACTTCATATTAGAGAATCATTATGGGTTGGTAAAACGATGATCGTTTATTTTCAAAATATATTTAAATTTAATAAGAAACGATCATAACAATTATTTTATTTATTTTTTAACAATTCGAATAATGAGGAAAAAAGACTATTAGACTCAAAGGGTTTTTATAATAATAGAACAAATTATTCTAATCTGGAGGTTTAGGCACTTTTTATGTAATATCAATATAAAATTTTATAATATTTATTGAATTCCTGGTACAAGATCCTAAACCTCTGGTTTATTTAGGGACACTTCTTGATAAACTTTGAAAACATTGTTATGGTTTTTTTAATAGTGGGGCAATTGGACAAACCGCAACATTATTTATTGACAAAATTGGTTGGTCAATTATCTAGTACTAATTAAGTTTAGTATAAAAAAAAATTCTAGTTTTCTACATCTAACAATAATTTCTACTTTACATACGCACTCCATTACTTCCGTGTAACGATAGACACCATTAATTTCTATAAACATTTCATACTTTTTTTTATTTCTAATAATTTTGTTTATAAATATATACATCCTAATAATTTAGTCAACAATTTTTTAATAAATTAATGAGATTGTAAATCAATATATATATATATATTATATATCGATACATTTATACGTATTAATATCATAATACTGTAATATGCACATTAAATGATTTACGTACTACGTACAATATCTGTGCACCATATAAGCGCGTTATTTCGGGTATGCCCATATGCGTTATTTCGAATTAAGGGATGAACCGGTATAAAATGAAATTAAACTAGTAAATCGTTGAATTTATTTAGTATCCACCGGAGGCGATGTGTTCCGCAAAAAAGATCTGAACGAATCCGGTCTTTTTAATGGGTACGAATGTAGCATTTTACAAAGGGTACCCGAACTAAAACTGCATATAATTAATACGGAAAACACACTATCACTACTGGCAACAAGCACCTCTTGTTGGGGTATCCAATGCACTATGTAAATCAAACCTAAGTAATGTCTATATGATAAATTTATATGATCGGATTTTTTT